CTAATCTACAGTATCAGGATGCCTTTACACACCAGACACTCGGTGTCATAAAGGGAGGAGGAGAACGAGTCAGGAAGACTGACGGACATGTTCTTCCAGCTCTCGTACAAAGATGAACTTTGAATTGAATGACCAGATGTTTACAGATGTACAATTAATGATTGTTTTTTATATTTCCAATGACCAGACATGTGTTAAATAGTGGTGATTAATATATTTTGTCACATCAGATTACACTTTCGCACTAAACTAAATAAATAAATTAATATTTTCAGATTACAAGGTATTGAATAATAAGGTATTTCTACTATTATCACAGATAATGTTAATATCCTTAATCGCCCAGCAATCAGGCTTAACAACACTACTCTTTAATGTATTACCCATGCACAGACAGACCTAACATTTTGTTTCAAGTACTGGATTCATTTCTGTTTTGGCCCAAAACAAATATTTATAATAACTCATAAAACAATTATGAAGCATATTTGACCCTCTAATTAGAGAAGTATGATTTAAAGAAATTGATATTCTACATTCAACATTAGATAAACACAGAAGAACCCTTTCAAAGTACCAGAAGTAGATTTTCAGGTAAGTATGGCTAATAAGAATACTTGATGGAGTTAATTTGGTACAGATCAGTGGTAGCATTTACAAATGTATTAATTAAAGTTTTAAGAATGTATAATCCTTCCTTTCCAGGCGACACAACTTCTGGTCCAGGCTCTCGTCATCTCACTCCTAGACTACTGCAACTCCCTCCTGGCTGGTCTACCTGCATGCGCCATCCGACCTCTGCAGCTCATCCAGAATGCAGCGGCTCGTCTGGTCTTCAACCTTCCTAAATATTCCCACACCACACCGCTCCTCCGCTCCCTTCCCTGGCTTCCAGTAACTGCTAGAATCCACTTCAAGACACTGGTACTAGCGTACCATGCTGTGAATGGATCTGGCCCTTCCTACATCCAGGACATGGTTAAACCATACACCCCAGCACGTGCACTCCGCTCTGCATCGGCCAAACGGCTCGCTGCACCCGCACTGCGAGGGGGACCCAAGTTCCCATCAGCAAAAACACGTGGGTTTGTTATCCTGGCTCCAAAATGGAGGAATGAGCTCCCCATTGACATCAGGACAGCAGAAAGCTTACACATCTTCCGGCGCAGACTGAAAACTCATCTCTTTCGACTCCACTTCGAGCAATAAAATGACTAACAAAGCACTTATATACTAACAAAGGACCAGAGTTGGGTGTAACGCGTTACAAAGTAACGCGTTACTGTAATAATATTACTTTTGTCGGTAACGGAGTAGTGTAACGCGTTACTTTTATAATTCAGTAATCACACTACAGTTACTAACATTGCCCCGACACGCGTTACTTCGTTACTTTTATAAAATCAGTCATAATCACACTGACAGACAAGAGGGGTTTCCGCCGCAGGTTTATATGTACGTAATCTGCGCGACTTGCACGTCCACATCTCCGCGTGCAGTGCTGCATAAACATGGCTGAGTCAGCGATAACTTTCGAGGGGTGGAGGTATGCCCATTATTTTGAGTTCGTCCGAAGAATAGACAGGAATGTGACGGTGAGGTGCAAACTGTGTCCAGGCCAGAAGCTGTTATCCACTGCTGTAAACACCACGTCAAACCTCAACAAACACCTGCAAAGAACACATGCTAAGGTGAAGCTAATAGCTAAGGACCCCCGAACCCAGAGTGAGGATGTTGTGAGTCGCCGCCGCCGAGTCCGAAGCGGCACAAATTAGAATTTGGAGGACCGGTAACCAAAGCAGAGATGGACAGGCTTGTAGCATCCTTCATAGTAGAGGAAATGTTGCCCATTTGCAGAGTGGAATCACCATCGCATCGTTCAGAGATATACTGCACAAAATACAGATAGCAGGAGACAGAGGACAGCCATGGTCAGAGCTATCTGGATCAGTCTTATGCGACAATGGAAACTGAACTAAAGAGAACATTTGAAACTTTAGCAGTCTGCGTGATCTGCCTGCAGGGAGGGGCGGGCCGGCCCTGCGAGTAAAGTAACGAGTAAAGTAACAAGTTACTTTATGTAGAGAGTAACGAAGTAGTGTAATATATTACTTTTAATGTAATGTAATGTAATGTTTTTATAAAAATCTTTGAATATTTGCCTAACCTTTCCTTTTCAGATTGTTAAACATTTTGAGAATTGTTTAACTTTTCCCTTTCAGATTTTGAAATGACATAATGATTGATAGTTCAAGTAATGTAATTCTGTTATCATGCCATAGTCTTTTGATTTAATATTTAATGAAGTAAGAGTATGTAATCCTAGGTTGATAGTTAATAATATAACTATAATGTTAGATTTATAGACTGAATACTTTTAAATATAAATATAAATTCTTTAAATTTGTTTAGATTCTTTATAGTCCTGGTCATTTCTAAAGTACCAGGTGTTTAGCTTCTTTTATTCGTACAGTCTTTTAAATGTAATAGGTTAATGAGTAGGATTTGAATTTACTACATTGATAATACAAATGTATAATATTGATAATTGATAAATACATGATCAAGTTTGTTAGGATTACATGATTTGTGTTATTATGTATCTGTGATTTTCATGTTCATTATTATGCTTTTGACAAAATATGCTCCAAACACTGATGAGAGATGATTTGTATGATTGTGACCGAGTCCAAGCTGACATGAGGTAGTTTACTGTTTGATGATTCAGGGTCCATATTTGTTTAGTCCCGCTGATGAAGAATGTTGATTATTACACTCTGAACTAGTTAAAAACTTGAGCTACAGAAAGGGTTCTTCAGAATTGGTTTGGCAACCGCTGTGTCAACTCGTGACACACCACATGTCTTGTGAATTCTCCGGCCGAAGCTCCAAATAAACCCTCAGTGTTTGCCATCAAAGCTCCAGCTCTCCTCGTGTCTCTCTGAGTCCTGTTTCCAATTGCTTCAGAAGTTTCCCCCACACTTAGAGATGTCCCGTCCTTTAACCCAATGGAAGTGCTTCAGGGTGGGATTTTAGCCTTTGCAGACCATTTACATGCACAAAAACCTACAGTATACAACACACTACAGGAAAGGGGAAACCCTAAAAAGCAAAATAGTGCAATGTTGCTGACTGAACTTCTCGAGTTTCAGGGCAGAGATAATGTCTTCCACTTATTACAGCATCAACTTTTATAATGACACCATGAAAGGTTTCTATTTCATTCATTAGTTAAATATTGGTATGAGTGTGTTATCCTTTCTACAGATCATAAAAATACACTATGTCCCCATGAGGAAATAGATATAGGTGTGTGTGTGTGTGTGTGTGTGTGTGCGTGCGTGCGTGTTGTCATTTAATATTGACTTAAAGATTCATATTAAGATTAGTCATGCAAAATACTTGTAACAGAGTATTCTTTGTTAAGTACAAAGACTGAGTTCCTCTTCCCATTAAAAAAACAAGTCAGAAACATGCAAAATCATCTGTCACTCCCTCAAAAGATGCGTCGGACTGGGACAAATGTTTACATTTATGCAAAGTGAGGAGTCTGTCTGTGGACACACTGCAGCAGGAGAAACACTTGTTATTCTACCACTGATAGTTCAGAAAAAAATAGAAAATAGAAAAAAATAAGCTTTTTATTTACAGATGTTAATTGGCAAATCATCCCCCAGACAAAAGCTATTTCATCACATTAAAACAGTTTTCTAGAGATAATGCTCTATGAAGTGTAACAGGCTGACAGGTTTTGATCAAAAACAAATGGGCAGTAGTTTTACTGTGACGTCACAAATACATCGTTTCTTGATTTGAATGTGTTTGTTTGAAGAAGGAAGGACTTCGCTTGCAAGCTGGAGAATCACAGATATATATAACCAAACTGGCCAATTAAAAAGGCGGACCAGTCCTCTTTTGCCCTTGAGCAAGGCACAGTGGTGGAAGCAGTAGATTTGATGGTTCAGTAACAATGCTAAAATGTAAAATTCCTGCATTCAACGTCTTTCTGAAGTTAATGTACGAAAGTATTGGCTTCAAAATATACTCAAAAGTTCCAAAGAAAGTACCCTTTCATAATCAAATGAATGGTTATTGATGCATGTGTTCCTGACAGCTGTAAGGTGGTTTTAATGACTTTATAAACTACTGCTGGATATCCTAAAAATGTAAATGTTTATTCGTTTATTTATTTTTGTATAGCCAATATACTGAATGTGTAAAGTAACTAAAGCTGTCGGGTATATTGGAGTAAAAAGTACAAATGTGGCTTCCTAAATATAAGAGAGTAGCAACATAAGGTAGCGTAAAATGAAAATACTGAGCTTTTGCCTCAAAACTGTATTTAAGTACAAGGGCCCATGTCCTAAGTAAAAACATCCATAACATTCACCTGTTTGTAACTTACAAATTATTGATTACTTGTATATAGACTCTTATGGCACTACTTCTATTCTATTTTATTGTATTTACTTGCAATATTTTATCAGTTTTATTGTGTTGCACTGGAGGAGGCTGTGACCTAAGATTTTCATCGACATAACTACACTGTAGCTATGTACAAATGACAATAAAAGCCTTGAAATTCTGAGCACAAGTGTCTTTTTTTTGTATCGATTCCTCTCCAGCTCTGAGCGATTTAAGTTGAAACCATTTCATCTTTCCAGAAAAGCCCCAGTGATGTCCCAGAAGAAACTGGAGGAGAACGTTGTTTTTGAACATGTCCTAACAAAGATTTGAAGGCCCATTTGTTGGAGGATATCAGTCAAGTGGAACCAGGATGTTTCTGTCGGTGAGCTCTATGCCGCCTCATGTGGCCATCTGATGAACTGCAGCTTTCCCAAATGCACATAGGCCATGGGTGTCCAAACATTTTTCACTGACGTATTGAAAAACATATGAAGGGCTGGGCCACTCACTAGAGGTATATTGTCTCATACGTTAAGTTATAAGTTAGCAAAATCAATCCAATGGAGCAAATTACGCTTGATACTTGAATATGCTTTAAGAAAATAAAAAGCACTGCATAGGGATTCATTTATTTTGTGACAGTGTTAGCAGCTCGTTCCTTAAAACAGAATTTGGTGCTCTCCCTTCACAGCCATGTATAAAGGGGGGGGGATAAGGGGAAATATGAAGGGTACATTTCAAGCTTGTTAAGCAAATTAGGCTTTTTCTTTTTTATCAACTAAGTTCTGTGAGAAGATGTTTTCAGCTTTAATTGACTGCATTTATTTGAAAAGTGGGCTTATTAAGACATGAATACTATACTGTGCAATATTTGTTTACATGTATATTTCAGAAGTACAAAATAATACAAGCACAAGTGTCTGGTGTGGGCCATTATATCAATTATACTTTTAGAATCTGCTGAATTCAAAACAGACTAAGGGCCACAGTTGGCCCCCGGGCCTAGTTTGGACACCCCTGACATAGGCTTTATTGCTCAGGTGGTTGGTTTGTTTCAACTTAAACTCCTTTTTTTAGCCTGATGTCGATTAAATGATGTGGTTAAAGTTCTCTTCATTATCACAACAAGGTATAAAACAGTGGAAAGAGATCAGAACAACTGCTATCCAACAATGAATTGGATAAGATAAATACATATTTAAATTAAAGCTGCTAAATGAGATTTGCTCCACAGGATCAGTCCCATTCAATACCATTTAAGTTCCCTTTCCATAGATGATTCAGCACCCTCAGTTTTAAATATAAAATGATGTGTCAATCAGAGAATAGACGACCCTCGGGTTGAAAGCTTCTTGGTCTTCTTTTGCTTTGCAGATCTTTTCCTCTCAGGGTCCGAATACTTGCTCGTACTGTAAGGAAGCTCAAAACCCTTTGTAAAACGTGACTTTCCTTTGCTTAGCTAGTTCCTGGATAATTCCATATTCAACATTCCCAGGATGTAGTCCAGTTTTTAACTTTTTGTTTTGGAGTTTTTCGAAATAATGACTCCAGTTTCCCTCACTGTCTGCTCCATATCCGAACACATGGACCTAGGGAAACAAAAGAAAACACATTTAGGAACAAAGAAACCTGGTAAAAGTCACAAACAAATAGACAGGGATAACTTTATATAACCAACACGGCCCCTAGTAGACCCCCACACCAACCCAGTCTCAGGGCATTTCGTGTTATATTCACGAAATAAATGTAATCTATTGATTCGTGTTCACCAACACGATTTTCCCCTTTTTTTCGTGTCACACAGAACGATTTTAAAAGCAATGTATTTCTATTGGTAGTATGTTTCGTGCCTGCACCACGTCTTTATGTCCGGTCGGGTCTTGGAAGACCAGAAGCTGTGTGGTTCATAAAAACATTTTCTTACTCAATATCAAGCCACGATTATTGTTTTTATTTTAAATTGTATAATGTCGAACTTTTTTTGCTGTCCGTGAGGAAAATAAATGGGGCTTCAGAATACTGAAATCTGTATTTTTGTAATCTTTATTTCCTTCTAATTTGTTATTATTTGGTGCAGGCACGAAACATACTACCAATAGATATACAGTGACACACACACACACACACACACACACACACACACACACACACACACACACACACACACACACACACACACACACACACACACACACACACACAACACACACACACACACACACACACACACACACACACACACACACACACACACACACACACACACACACACACACACACACACACACACCACACACACACACACACACACACACACACACACACACACACACACACACACACACACACACACACACACACACACACACACACACACACACACACACACCACACACACACACACACACACACACACACACACACATCACACACACATCACCACACACACACACACACACACACACACACACACACACACACACACACACACACACACACACACACACACACACCACACACACACACACACACACACACACACACACACACACACACACACACACACACACACACACACACACACACACACACACACACACACCCCTTGTTGTTAAATACCAACTATGTGCAATATATATATGTATATAAATGCCGTTAAAAACTGTGCAATATACACCTGGCTGCTAAATCCTCAGAAATTGGGCGAAGCCTGCGAGCTAGTTCAGGGAGTCAACTCGAGCACCAATGATACATTACCACGTGACACACCTCGTCCCTCTTACAACCAACCAAACGCATTCTCCTAAACATGCCGCTCTATTTGAGCTGCCAGATCTGCCTGCCTCTGCCTCGCTATTGCTGCTGCGTTCGTGCCCTGCTATTGCGTTCACATTGCTACTGCTGCTGTGTTTCATGTTGCTGCTGCTCGCCTGCCCCACCACCACCCCAGCTTCCACCCCAGCTTCCACCTGTAGGCTCGGGGGATAGTTATCTAATCATCACTCAATGTTCTTTGTAAATCTGTGGAGTGATGAGGCCCGAGCCTAGACGCCAAACTCAAACTATATGCTGCGTCTAATAAACATATAAAGAAACATGTGAGTTGTACATTTCCCCTCTAATAAAGGTATTCTGATTCGGATTATTTTCAACCAGTCCTCAATTACTGACATACACTTGTCTATCATTTCGTGTTTGTTGAATCAAAACTGGGGCCTTCCACAGGGAAAACTCCCAATTTAAAAACTTACCTCGTCACAAATATGCATCGCAAGAATCAAAGCCATGAAGCCAGTGGATGGATACCCGCCCTTCTTTTCCAGCCAATTATGATGAACATACATCATGAAATCTGGATTAAGGACCATTACCTGTTGAACGATTCAGAGTCAGACATCAAACTATATTTTTATGAACCATTACCGTGCAGCCAGTTAAATGCATTTGAAAATAATACTCACCAAATTCTTGTTAGCCTTGATTTTTGATAGTACTGGCGCATATGATCTGGTGAAAATTTAAAAAAAAATCAACATTGGAAAATAAAATACAAAATATCCACATTGAGTGATTGTGTTATTGTCACCAAAATGGGTTACTAAGCAACAAGTAAAACAGGTTATTGAACTAGCTCAGAAAGCTAATTTCACTGTAGCCTTGTAAGAAATGACAATGCACTACACAAACTCGAAATCTTGCCAAGTATATGTGTCTAATATCTAGTCAGAATATGTCTCAACTGATATAGGTCTTGTTTTTAGACAATGCATCATCTTAAAGTGGACCTATCATGCTATATTTGAATAATATAGTGTAGGACCATACCTATATAAGGCATATTTATACTTTTTTTTTTTTCAAAATACCAAACAGATCATGCATTTTAGCCATGCCTCATTTTGCAGCTCTGTTTTAGCAAGGGCAGATTCTGTGAGAACAGCACCATCTACAGGCCTGGCATATGTACTACAGCGTCTCCAGCGCTTTCGAACGGCAATGGCCGTGGCTGTCTCCTCCTGATTGGTGGAGTTGGCCCAATAGCCGTAGCACCACCGTCCTGACGTCAGGACAGTGTTCAAATCTGGATCAGTTTTTATCAGATCCGTTGCAGCCCCTTTTTTAGAGATTTGGGTATGGAGGAAAATAGAGAGGGTTGTGTTTTCTGACACTTGGTGAGTTCCCTGGAACACCGGGGACACATTCATGTAGAAAAGACGTACAAAAGTGCATTTTGCATGATAGGTGCCCTTTAAGTAAAAAAATCTTATTTTGAGTTGTATCTCAGATGAAACACATATTTTTTTCCAGTGTGCTATTGTTAGCATGTGGTTGAGCCTCATTCCTTCACAACAAACATTAGTAACCCCTTCCTCCTCTGCATCTCGTCATCACTGCAGCCGTGTTAGATATATTTAGGCAGTTGCTTTGTGTCTTTTGTAGTCGTTACACCTTCCTCTTTCACCTTGTGTCTCCTTTCAGTTGTTCCACGTTTCTTTGTGTTACATTATAGCGACTTCCTGGTTTGTATTTGTCTCTTTGAGTGACATTTTGGAGGCATGGGGGCCCTGTGACGGTGTCAGGTAGGTTTGTTAGGTAATCCAGTGTTGACTACATGGTTTGTTGCAGAGGTTTTTGACCCTAACTATGAATTGAAGCATTGATGTCTTATTGTTTGTAGGCCGACACAGAAGTTAGCATTTCATTTTAGCAGAAAATAAGCTCTGTGGTCAACAAATGTTTATGATACTTACATGTTTTTATTCAGCAGGATAATCTCCACATATTTAAACCATATTTATAATTTTTGAAGAAAAAATGGATCAGTAGATTTAAAAAGCTAGCATTAAGGCTAACGCTATCTCACCTCCGCTAAGCTAACGGCGGCTTATGTTTGGCCTAATTTAGACACGAAAGCAACTACTGTTATTACACAAAGACGCTTCAGACGTTCACCAGTGGAGGGTTAACTTGGACAAGATCTCAGTGTTTGCATTACATGTAAATGTTGTGCTGAATGATTTCCATCAGTAATGCTTTGCTTAGTAACAGCCAGTTGTTGTTATCGAATACAGATTCTTTCAGAAGGGATTCGCTGAAGAAGAATTTCACTAAAGCATTGCTTATTATCACAAATAGAGGTAGTAGTGAGAAGTTTTCATTGTGTGTGTGTGTATAAATTCCCGGCATGGAACGGATTTATTTTTTCTTATTTTAAGAAATAAACCAAACAACTTCTCAATTTAAGAATCTGATGAAATTACACCAATTTTACATTTCATATATGTTCATTGTTGAGAGCTGTCTATTCACTTTTCACATTGCCATTGAGACAACTGTGGTGTGGTATACACACACACACCAAAAATACAAGTAGAAGTATTGCACGGCACTCATTGATCAAAATTGAAAACAGTTTAAAATGACCACACAATATTGTTAAATGTGTTCATGTTTGAATAAAAAAAAGTCTAAATATAAGAATGTTTCTGCTGTCTTAATTTAAAGTGCACCTATCATGCTATTTTTAGGCAATAGCATAGGTCTCCGATATATAAAAAACATGTCTATGAAGTGTTTTGCTCAAAATACCAAATAGATCACCCATTCTAGCCATGCCTCATATCCCTCTATTTCACTTCCTGTTTCAAAAGTGCTGATGTTGGGTTTAAAGCTTTAAAAAATACAAATAATTGATAACAAATAAAAAAGGAGGGGGATGAGCTCATGTGGGACCCGGCAGCTTTAGGATTATTTCTGAAACAGTATGGAGTTCAAAGGCTTTCTCTCTTGCCGGTTATACCACAAGGTGAGTTCCTTTTTATTTCCTGCTTCTTCACACACATGCTCTCCAGTACAGGTTAGCTCTGAGAGTTAGCGATGCTAATGTAAACACCGACCATATTACGTCCAAAACAGTCGGGCATTGTTTCTGATAGCAACGTTTCTGATAGTGCCGTGGGTCCACATTTCTGATATTACGTCACATCGGACACAAATCTGGATCAGCTCCGTTGTTCCCCCGTTTTTAGAGATTTGGGTACGGAGGAAAAGAGAGAGGGTTTTATTTCCTGACGCTGCGTGAGTTCCCTGACACACCGGGGACACATATTTATGTATACAAGACATCAAAAAGTGCATTTCGCATGATAGGTCCCCTTTAAGGTGTTTGAAGAGTAGATTAAAAATACAATTTATTTTGAAAAAGATTATTGCCACAAAAAAATCAAAGGGTGACTCAACACGCTATTTTTGTTTGTGAAATGTTGAAGTGATCCGACTGACTGTATCTTTATCTATTATTTCCTCTGTTTCCTTTGTTTTGTTTTTGTCTGAGATGGGAATGTCATCTCCTAAATGTTATTGTTATGTCCATGTTTGTGTCTTTAGCATGTACAAAATAAAAGAATAATAATTTGAATAATAAAAGTAAGACTCACTTTCCAAAGTATCCGGTGCTGAAGGCCTTCATGACCCAAACGATGTCTTTTATCTTGAAGGGAACCAGCATCAGATGAGTGGAGTTATCTAAATTCACGCTGCTCTCCGGGTACATGATGCGATGAGTTGTTTTGGACCCAACATCTGCTTCGTAGCCTTGGGTAACAGCACCGTTCATCCTAAAAAGTAAAGAGGGATACATTAAAAAAGCATTAGCACTGACCCTTTGTAATCCTTAAAAAAAGGGTAAAAGACACGACTAAATCAAGACATCTACACTTCAAGAGGTTTTAAACCATGAATAACTGTAAGCTAAAAGACAGCTCGCCTGCTATCGACTGCTATGAAATATGAGGTTTAAAATACATGTCCATCATTAGACAGGCATACAAAATGGTGTCTGATCTGTCCAATATTCTCCACCCAGAGTTCCTTTCCTTACCATCTGATATGATATTAAGTTAAAGGAAACCTATCATGCTATATTTAAATGATATATTGTAGGGCCATACCTATATAAGGTATATTTATACGTTTCTGTTTTCAAAATACCAAACAGATCATGCATTTTAGCCATGCCTCATTTCGCTCTATGTGCTGTTTGCTGTCTACGGGTCTGATTCTGCTGACCACGCCCCCCGGCAGGAGAGGGGAGACGTGCTCTGATCAGCTGCTGGGCTGTCAGAAGAGGGGGAGAAAAAGAGATCTCCGTCCTCCGTGTTTTATTATATAGAGTCGTTATTCATTTGTTTTAAAGCTCAATAAATAACAAGACCTTTGACCGGCACTTTTCTAATTTTGTCCGGAAGATTTAAACTTTAACGGACATCTTGACCGGCGAAACAAACTGAAACTGAAACTCTGCCGCACGGTCCCCTCGTTCCTTGGAAGAGGCGGAGAGGTGGGTGTTTGTCATCTGCTGGTGGACTAACCGGAGATAATTACAGTGCTTGCCTCGACGGGGAGGGATTGCATTGAATTAAAGCTCCGGGAGCAAACGCTTGCCTCGGGGAGGGAGAAAGAAAGCCACAGCGGAGAATAAACAGAAGGGTAACCATGGTAACTATGGGCAGGAAGTCTTCTTCGCTGCTTTTGTGGCAGACTACAGCGCCACTTACAGGCCTGGCATATGTACTACAGCGTCTCCAGCGCTTTCGAATGGCAATGGCCGTGGCTGTCTCCTCCTGATTGGTGGAGTTGGCCCAATAGCCGTAGCGCCACCATCCTGACGTCAGGACAGTGTTCAAATCTGGATCAGTTTTTATCAGATCCGTTGCAGCCCCTTTTTTAGAGATTTGGGTATGGAGGAAAATAGAGAGGGTTGTGTTTTCTGACACTTGGTGAGTTCCCTGGAACACCGGGGACACATATTCATGTAGAAAAGACGTACAAAAGTGCATTTTGCATGATAGGTCCCCTTTAATGTTAAATACCAACTATGTGCAATATATATATATATGCCGTTAATAACTGTGCAATATATACCTGGCTGCTAAATCTCCAGAACTGTTACAAGATGTGTATTTTGTAAATTGTCTAATTTTGTATGCATACTTCTTAGTTAACATTGTCTTTGGCTCTTTTCTGCTGTAACAATGTACATTTCCCCTCTGTGGGACGAATAAAGGTATTGTACTCAAGTACAAGATCAGAGTACTTCTACTTTAACTCAAGAACAAGACCTGAGTACTTCTACTTTTACTCAAGTAAAAAAAAGGTGGTTACCTGTTATAAATACCTTGGTATCGGTCTTGATGATTGTCTCTCTTTTAAACTTCAGGTCAATAATCTGCTTAGAAAGCTGAGGGTGAAGCTAGGTTTCTTTTTCAGAAACAAGTCCTGTTTCTCGCTTGAGGCCAGGAAAAGGCTCCGTGACCTTTTTATCTGTACTGGACTATGGTGATTTGATTTATATTAATAATAATAGATTCTGCGTATCAGAGTGCACTGATATTTGTAACTAACTGTAAAATATTAACTCATCACTGTACCCTGTATGCCAGGGCATGTTTGCCTTCACTCACTGTACGGAGGCTCAGTCACTGGTACATTTTCATCTACAAAGCCATGTTGGATAAACTACCATCTTACATCTGCACTCTGATCTCTCGGCGAATTGAAAGTAGCTATTGCCTGAGATCTCATGCTGTGGTTTTGTTACATGTGCCAAGTGCTAGGACTGAAAGCTTTTAGATGCACAGCTCCACTAACTTGGAACAGTCTGCAAAAGGAATGGAAACTGAGCAATTTGGTTCCACTAAATGTTTTTAAAGCACGGATAGATGCTATCCAATCGGATACTGTTGGAACCTGTAAATGTTACTAGCTATGGAAACTGTAGTCGCTGTAACTTTGTTGTATGATGTCCTTTTTGTTTTTATGTTTATATGTCTTCATGTGGAACCGACTTGCAGCAGGTCACCCTTGAAAACAAGATCAATGATCTCAATGGGATTCACCTGCATAAATAAAGGTTTGAAATTAAATGAAGTACAAGATCTGAGTACTTCGACTTTTACTCCCGTACAAGATCTGAGTACTTCTACTTTTACTGAAGTACAAGATCTGAGTACTTCTACTTTTACTAAAGTACAAGATCTGAGTACTTCTACTTTTACTCAAGTACAAGATCCGAGTACTTCTACTTTTACTCCCGTACAAGATCTGAGTACTTCTACTTTTACTAAAGTACAAGATCTGAGTACTTCTACTTTTACTAAAGTACAAGATCTGAGTACTTCTACTTTTACTAAAGTACAAGATCTGAGTACTTCTACTTTTACTCAAGTACAAGATCCGAGTACTTCGACTTTTACTCCCGTACAAGATCTGAGTACTTCTACTTTTACTAAAGTACAAGATCTGAGTACTTCTACTTTTACTAAAGTACAAGATCTGAGTACTTCTACTTTTACTCAAGTACAAGATCTGAGTACTTCTACTTTTACTCCCGTACAAGATCTGAGTACTTCTACTTTTACTCAAGTACAAGATCCGAGTACTTCTACTTTTACTCAAGTACAAGCTCTGAGTACTTCTACTTTTACTCCCGTACAAGATCTGAGTACTTCTACTTTTACTCCCGTACAAGATCTGAGTACTTCTACTTTTACTCCCGTACAAGATCTGAGTACTTCTACTTTTACTCCCGTACAAGATCTGAGTACTTCTACAGTACTCTTACTCAAGTACAAGACCCGAGTACTTCTACTTTTACTCAAGTACAAGATCTGAGTACTTCTACTTTTACTCCCGTACAAGATCTGAGTACTTCTACTTTTACTCCCGTACAAGATCCGAGTACTTCTACAGTACTCTTACTCAAGTACAATATCTGAGTACTTCTACTTTTACTCAAGTACAAGATCCGAGTACTTCGACTTTTACTCCCGTACAAGATCTGAGTACTTCTACTTTTACTAAAGTACAAGATCTGAGTACTTCTACTTTTACTAAAGTACAAGATCTGAGTACTTCTACTTTTACTAAAGTACAAGATCTGAGTACTTCTACTTTTACTCAAGTACAAGATCTGAGTACTTCTACTTTTACTCCCGTACAAGATCTGAGTACTTCTACTTTTACTCAAGTACAAGATCCGAGTACTTCTACTTTTACTCAAGTACAAGCTCTGAGTACTTCTACTTTTACTCCCGTACAAGATCTGAGTACTTCTACTTTTACTCCCGTACAAGATCTGAGTACTTCTACTTTTACTCCCGTACAAGATCTGAGTACTTCTACTTTTACTCCCGTACAAGATCTGAGTACTTCTACAGTACTCTTACTCAAGTACAAGACCCGAGTACTTCTACTTTTACTCAAGTACAAGATCTGAGTACTTCTACTTTTACTCCCGTACAAGATCTGAGTACTTCTACTTTTACTCCCGTACAAGATCCGAGTACTTCTACAGTACTCTTACTCAAGTACAAGACCCGAGTACTTCTACTTTTTTTTTCATGCATGCTTCTTAGTTAACATTAAGCTGTCTTTGGCTCTTTTCTGCTGTAACATATGTAAAGTTCCCCTCTGTTAGACGAAGGTATTCTGATTCTGAAACACTCGTTCCTGCCAATATCCCGTTAAAGGTGGGGTAGGTAAGTTTGAGAAACCGGCTCGAGATACACTTTTTGTTATATTCCATGGAATGCTCTTAACATCCAGATAGCAATGAATATCTGAAGTGCTTTGACAAAAAATCCATAAAAAATGTCATCTGTGGAAGCTGTAATACTGTAAAAAGCACGACCAATCATTTGAGCCGGCCCGGCTAAAATAACTGGATGGCTTACCTGCCTGTCAGCCTTCCATCTGTGCACAAACTTATCTCGTGCCCTCATTGCCCATGTGCGCGTTCGTGTGTGTTGGAGGAGGGGCTCTGTAAGGAAGTGGCAGATTTTCTCCGGCTGTGTATTTTCAAATTCTAGCGATCTCGAGCCGGTTTCTCAAATTACCTACCCCACCTTTAAGCTTCTCAACAAACAAATGTAATGTTTAGTTTAAATGTTTGCAGAGAGGGTGTTGCCATTGTCAATGTGTGTCTGTGGATATGTGTATTTGCAGACTGTGAATATGTACATAAGCAATGTGTTAAAATCTTCTATTGTTTACTTTGAATTATGATGATTTGTTATCTTTTGAGGAACAGACTCCAGAACAAATGTGCTTCCAGAGACAATAAAGTAAATCGTATTTGGTTAGCTAATCTTTTGAAAAAACTGTTTGAAGCTAGATTTTTAAGAACTTGTTTCAAGACTGACCATTAACTGCTATTTTAGGAATCACATAATCCATCAAAGTCACATTTATATGTATTTCAATGGTGATTACAATGTTAATTCCCAAAGCAATAAGAAATTTGTTTTTCTGCTTATTTCAAGACATTTGTAATTTTTCTAACCTCCACTATTAAATGTTAGAATTTCAATACACTGGCACATAATTAGATTTCTTTCAAATATGTATCTACTCTGTAACTACTACTGTTGTCTTATTATTCAGAAAATAGCCATTATTTTTGGTACTTTAAGTATATGTTGATGCTAATACTATCATACTTTCACGTAGGTAACATTATGAATGCCATTTGTTTCTTGTTTTGAGGATTTACCTTATAACGACATCATAGAAATCAATGAGAGGTCCATAGCGTGATCGATGCAAATTCCCAGAATTCCCGACCACAGCACAAGTCCTGCAGCGGTCGGGATGATATTGCTTCACATCTGGTTTTGGTGGGAACATCCCAAACAGATCATGAACTGTTTTTTTAAACAAATCGAAGGTGCCCTGTTCATTTTGTAAGCGCTGCAAGAAACACATAGATTTGCTGTTAGAACAAATACAGGTTAAACTATCAGCACATTAAGAGTTATTTTACAATTTCATACCACTACTTTACAGTAAAATGTCATTTTTCAACTGCTTGCAAGGTCACAACTTACCTGCCACCATTTGAAAGCGTCCTCTGAGAAATTCATGTTTGCCGACAAGAAAGGTTGAACAGATTTGTTGAAACGCTTGTTGAACCACAGATCATTTGAAGGTGAACATTCCTTACAAGCGCAGGTACTTTGTGAGACGTATGCTTTCCAAAACATGCAGTTTCCCGTCACCATCATGATGAGAATGAGGAAGTTCAGTTTTGAAGTCATCTTGTCTGTGTGGTGCTTTAAGGATAAAGCCTGTGGAGACAAATACAAAATAATGGATTACACGTGAGCACCAATTTGGATTTCAACATTGATTACTGGAGAAAAATGCAGTTACAGCTAACCCTATTATAATGTTTTTCATCAATATATTATAGGTCTCAGATATATACAAAACATGTCTCTGAAGGGTTTGGCTCCAAACACCAAACAGATTGTTATATCAGTCTTGGACCTAGTCATAGTAACTAGATATGTTATTAAATTACAGTTTACAGAGAATCGTCTCTTTGCTAATTATTATGTTTACGGTTTTTACCCTTACCCTGCACTAGTTTGGGGAAATAGGATCCCAGTTTATATAATCTTTTTCAAATGCAAGTCTGTATAAAAACCTGAATCAATCACACTTTGATTTGATAATGTGAAGTAGCTTGGACTACCACAGAGGTTTAAGCTATTTTGTACATTTTATATTGTGTTTTCTTGATATACTCTATTGTTATATATCTGTTCTACTGTTGATATGTACATATTTACAGTGGTTTGTTTATTTGGTTTATTTTCGGTCGTTTTTCAATATAATACATTTGTAATTAGTGTAATGCCTGTTTACATGCTGCTGTGACAAAAATAAAGCCCGATTTAGATGACTAAAATGTATGTTATCTGTGATGCCCCTGTTATATCAATCTTGGACCTACTGTAGTCATAGTAACTAGGTATGTTATTGAATTACAGTTTCCATCGAATCGTCTCTTTGCTAATTATTACGTTAAGTGAGCTGACGCCAAGCTCAGAGGAAATGCAAAGAGGCTACATTTAGATATAATACAGTTAAAGGTGGGGTAGGTAAGTTTGAGAAACCGGCTTGAGATCGCTAGAATTTGAAAATACACAACCGGAGAAAATCTGCCACTTCCTTACAGAGCCCCTCCTCCAACACACACGAACGTGCACATGACCAATGAGGGCACGAGATAAGTTTGTGCACAGATGGAAGGCTGACAGGCAGGTAGGCCATCCAGTTATTTTAGCCGGGCCGGCTCAGATGATTGGTCGTGCTTTTTACAGTACTACAGCTTCCACAGATGATATTTTTTCATGGATTTTTTGTCAAAGCACTTCAGATATTCATTGCTATCGGGATGTTAAGAGCATTCCATGGAATATAACAAAAAGTGTATCTCGAGCCGGTTTCTCAAACTTACCTACGCCACCTTTAAGTGTTAGTTAATGTGAGGAACATTTGTGTGTGCGTTCATGTGCAAACAGTCAAGTCTTTGTTAATTGGATCATTCATATCCTGTTAGACTCCTAAAGACGTCATGAGATGATGACCTTTCGACATCTGGAACATATCCAAGTTTAGGAGACCTGACAATGTTCGTGTATTAAGTGTATGTTCGTGTGTGTTTTACATGTATAAAGCACACAAGATATTTGTTCTTGCGGGAGCATTGCTGTATGATTGCTTGAGAGCAGGTAATGTAATATAGTATATTTTAATATTGTCTGCTTATCTGTATTATTGTGTTGCATTGTTGGAGAAGCCTGTGACCTAAGATTTTCAACGACATAATTACTCTGTAGCTATGTTAGTTTGACAATAAAGAACCTTGAACCTTGTTTCCCCGTTGTTGTTTGGTGTTGCGCAACTAAATAATGATTAATTTCAACTATGTCTGTTTGTGTTTTATTGATTCCTCTCCGTTTCATTATTTCCTGTTGCGAGTGCTGGATTGCCACAACAAGATCGTTGCAGCATTACCCATAATCCCCTCTGTTTCAGCCCTGTTTCCAAAGTGCTGATTCTCTGTCTGTTACTTTAGATGAAAATAAGGAGCCCCTCCCCACGCCCCTCTGAGAGAGATTTGGTTACAAAGAACTCAATGGTGCTCTAGGAGGAGATTCAGGTGATAAGGTGGGGGGGGGGGGGGGTTACCTTGGTTGCTGATTGGCTAATGGTTACACAAGACAAAACATCGTTATGACATAAAGTGGCCAAAATCTGATCAGCTCATTTTCAGACAGGTTTTTATATAAATGGATCAGGACAAAAAGAGAGAGAATCTTTGTTCCTGAAACTTTCAGAGTCTCTTTCCACAGAGGGGACACATGTTGATGAAGAAGAGACATGAAGAAGAGGGGACACATGGTGATATACAAAATCCATTTGTTCATGTGTTTTATACAATAGGTGACCTTTAAGTGAAATAATATAATTAACTGCTTTAGGATTTTATTCTCCGGAGATCTAGAACAAACTTCTTGAACATCTGAGGTCTGCATACGGTGGCCGAGAGGTAAAAACGCGCTAAAACTACCGCTTGACAACAACAACATAATATCTGAACGTCAACAAGCGCTCTGGTCCCAGCTGTTTATCACTTTTTAGTTTCCCCTGGTCTTAGTTGTGTTTTGAGCTTCTTGCATGTTTTGTATTCGCAGCGCTTCGTTTATGCAGCGCTTTAAGTAAACCCTGCACATGTTATCAAGTTGGAGAAATATTTTCCTCATTTGCATGATATTGGCAAATTTGTGTTTTTAAATTTGCATAGATTCTGAAGATGCTGCACATTTCCCTAATGTTACTTTTTTTGGCGCGTGTGCACCTGTTGACCATCGAGTTACTTTAAAATGAGCCTAAAAACATAATTTTTACTGCAAGAGTTCATTTAACTTTATAATAACTTTTTCTGAATTGTTTTGCAGCATCATTTAATTTCACAAAGTCAATCTTTAACTACCTTGTATCATTTTTATGAATTGTCTTTTTTCCGTTTTATTGATTCTAAAGCACATTTAATTGCCTTTTTGTCTGAAATATGCTTTTTAAATAAACCAACTTTAACCTTAATCTTAAAAGTAGCAGTCTTAAACTGTTAAAATATCCTCAATTGAATATCTTACTTGAGCAAAAGCACAAAAATATTGACTTCAAAATATAAGTACTTATTATGCGTGATAGCCCATTTCAGATCCATGATTTATTGGATTATGATAATTGATTAATTAAATGAGGCTAATTCTAATGAATGTATATACTGCCCAGTATAGTCACCCCAACCACAAACTGTTCTGTCTGCTGCCGTCTGGCAGGCGGTACGCAGCATCCGGACTAAAACCACCAGATTCAGAGACAGTTTCATCCCACAGGCAATAAGACTGCTAAACAACTGAACTGTTGAAACATCATCCATAACATTCATCTGCTACTTAGTCATTATTTATCTATTTCTCTAATATATCATTCCAATCACTTGCATATAGACTCTTATTGCACTATTTCAAACTATTTTTCTTTTTGTATTTACTATTTACTTGCCCTATATTTTTCTGTTTATCTGTATTATTGTGTTGCTCTGTTGGAGAAGCCTGTGACCTAAGATTTTCATCGACATAACTACACTGTAGCTATGTTCGTATGACAAAATAAATAACCTTGAACCTACTGTTGCTGGATATCTTAACTTATAACTAAAGGTCAATTGTCATTTATTACAGCAGTTTATTTATATATTGCATTAGCTAAAAGTACCTAAAGGTGTCATAAGTATAAAAAAAGTACAATATAGGCTTTCAAAACGTAGCGGAGTACAAGCATAAAATGCAAATACTCAGTTAAAGAAAAAGTACCAAATAGTGGGCGTTAAAAATTAACCTTTTTCAAAAAAAAAAAGCCTTTAGGCTTTTAACATTTGCTCAGGTGAAGAGAGACAGGTTCGACTAGTTTGAAGGAATGTCTCACATGACACCTGATGTCTAATGCCCAGTCATCACAAAGACATATTACAGGTTTCACATGATGAATACAGAACCTTTTGACATGACATTACATGTCACTTGTTAGACGCTTTTATCCAAAGCGACTTACATACTCATTACTGTGGACAATCCCCACGGGAGCAATTTGGGGTGAAGTGTCTCAGGGACACAACGACATGCTGACTGCAGTGGGGTTCGAACCTGTGACCCCCTGATCCGAACACCAACGCACAACCCACTGCACCACACGCCTTTTGAACTGCAGTTAGATAAATGGCAGAAAGACTCAAAGACATCCTTACCTTTTCAGTAGTTATAATATATTTCATTTATTTAACTTTTTTCATCTGAGCTTGCAACAAACGTGTATTTATTTTATATTTTAAATATATTTGTATAGCATGTTATGTCATTGTACTGAAGGAACATTTTATTTAAAAAAAGAATGTATTTAAACGTGTGTTTTCTGAGTGAAAATGGTGTTATGACGGAATTATTAGTAATTTTCTGGTAGTTAGTTTGTCATTATGAAAGTATTTTTACAGTTTGATTTTACAGTTATTATTTACAGTTTAGAAGGTGTGTAAAGAAGAACAGGTTTTGCTTAAAAAAAGACATTCAAATAACGTGACAGATAACTATTTAACAGACTATAATAAAACGGAATTTGCAATACTGGAATTCATCTTAAAAACGTATTATTTTGTTGTTATTTTGGAAATGCTCTTTTCCACAATGTAGAAGATGCAAATGCAATGTTACCTGATCAGAGAGCAAACGCATCCACTCCAGGTGTGATAATAGTCCAAATGGAATAAAGGAGTGATAAACTGGTTTAAAGACCAATGGTGCGCTTCCCATATCTCTCAGCTCGTCTGCTGATTGGCTCATCGTTTTGGAGGCGGTCCCTAGCGCACAGGTGTCCAATATCAACTCGGCTGCTCCGATTTTGAGACTCGTTTTTGTGTCATTCGGCCCATATATAAAATGAACAGTTTAAAAAAACCTGTGTTAAACATGTGTTTTTTGTTTGGTATTACGTTTTTATGTGAAATCAAGTTTTTCTGTGGCCAAAGATCAGTGTAAAAATACTTAAAATATATTAATAAAAATCAGACACCCACAGCAGGTCGACTTCCTGCTCCTCTCCTAAAGTAGATTATATGAAATCGTGTTATATGGTCATAATCTATTTGAAAATGGTTAATATATAAATATTTAAAAAAATGCAGATATAGTTCCAGCTCTTCCTCCTCGAGCTGGACTCAAAGCTAAATTAAGCTCAGCGCAAGTTCTTTCAGGAAGACTGGTATACATTCACTCCGCAGCTGCTTATTATCAGCTCATCACGGGCTTCCTGCTCGAGAGGGACGATCCTAATTCCACTTCCTATGAGATAGCCCCTTCCTGTCATCGAGAAACACAATGTTATCGGCGGCTGGTGGAAAATATTTTAGGTGGGGCTGTGGTAAAACATTTTCAGAAAATAGGTTAGGGTTAGGGTTAGGGTTAGGAAAATAGTTCTCCTCTCTCCTGCAGTCAGCGTGATTGCAGGTGTTCATGCTGCCGACCACCTCCTCCCCACCCACCTCCTTTCAGCAGCATCACCACCAGTGTCTAGACCCCGGGGGGTTCCCTATATGCTCACGGCTGCATTTCCCCCTTTAGATATACGATTTCACGATCGGGGTCTGATCGCTAATTTAACATTTATCATATGACATGTGTCAATAAATGTTCTTTAAACAAAATGAAGTCTCTCCTGATTGAAATTAACACACCGTTAGAAATACACTACATGTATACAGTTTTGCACATTTAACGTTTTTAGACTGCAAGTGTAAATATGCACATTGGCTTTTACCACTCATATTTATTTATCTATCTATCTGCGTGTATTTTTTTACTGCAGTGAGAGTTGCCAAATAAATGTCGTTGTACTTTATGATGACAACAAAGATATATTCAATAAAAAGCAGTAAACCATCGGATCACCTCTCCAGGAAACTGTCTTTCCTCGGAGCTCCGTCTGCTGGAAGGATCTGGGAGAAACCTTTTTTGTTTTTAATGTGTATTAGTTGAAGGCGTGTGTTATCACGTGACCCGCTTCTCTGGAAAGCTTTAAAGGTGTACACGTTACTGGTATCACGTGTGAGTATCTATGAGTATCCTGTATTAGGAGAGTATTGGGCAAGTTAATACAACAAAGGAGTTTATAAAGGAGTTTAATAAATATTCGCTTCATTGCATTAATAATAATACATATAATGTATCCTTTATTTAACCATGTAAAGTCTCATTGAGATTAACATCTCTTTTCCAAGAGTGACCTGGCCAAGAAGGGCAGCATGAACGAAGTTACAACAGATAAAACACAGACAAGACAGGCAGACAAATACAGCTTTAAAACACAAATGAAATGGCACATTAGCCAGTCAAAATGCGAAATAAAACAAACTATTAAAAATAATTAAAAACTGGCAACATTTAAAACGATGTTTGGATATGAGCACTCACATCTACCAATGGTGTTGTGTTCTCTGTCCTTTAAGATGGACCTGAATTCCCCCATAGTGATTCAATCTGAGAGTTTCAGCTCCTTCTGTACATTGTTCCAAGCTGTGGGGGCAGCATATTTAAAAGCTGTTTTACCCAGTTTTGTTCTCACTGTAGGAACCAGCATCTGAATAAAATATTGGGAGCGCAGGCCATATAGACTTTCTCTTTGACACATATATGTGCAAATGTAGGAGGGAACCAACCCAAGCAGAGATTTATAAATAAAACCCAACCAATGGGAAAGTCTGCGAGCAGACAAAGATTGCCAATTAGCAGCAGCATATAAAGTGCAATGGTGTACTCTATATCCACATCCAGTAATAAATCATAAAGCACAATGGTACACAGTATCCAAGCTCTTTAGGCACTGGTCAGAGGCATTCATGTATAGCAGATCACCATAATCTAATGCAGGTAAAAACGTTGCAGATATCAAATGTTTGACATGACACTTATATAGCGTTTTTCTAAAAACTCAAAGATGCTTTGACAGAAACAGCATTGCCCTTTGGATACCACAAATAACGTCTATATAACAACAATTATAATAATAAAAAAAAGTCTAAGTAGCCTAATAGACTTTTTTTATGATAATGATTTATAAATGATGGGCTATGAAAATGACCTGGAGGTAAATAATGTATTTCTACTCCATTATTATTATTTTGGAATTATTTAAAAAAACAAAACATTAAATTCATGTCACGATCTCCGTCTATGGTTGCGGTCGAATAGTCCAAAAATTGACCTCTGTTTGAAACATCACGGGGTTAAGGGATAGTGGATAGGAGAATGCAAAGAACTTAGGAGAAGAGACTGCGGTGCTTTAGAGAATCCGACTGCACTTTCACTATCCGAAGTGTTTATGATGCGCCAGCGGACGTCATAAATGTGCGTCTGCTGCTGTGGGGAAACTATGGAAACTACAGTTTTCTATACAGTGGACTACAACATGGATGTTTACAGTAGTCCGTCATTCTTATTAAACTCATCTAGAGACTCTGCACCGTGCTCTGATGCTGTTATGCTTTATGAACGGGGACAACAGAGAAACATATTCTTCATGACCAAAGTTGGAATTGACATAAAAAAGGAAAGTGAAACTTATGCTCGTCACCCTCTCCCTCCGGTCCACATTAATACAAATGATCCCAATACGTTTGATTGTATGAAAAGATCTTAAAATCAATACAAATGTATTTATTATAAACGTTAGTCCTTAACATCTATCACTGTGTATATCACCATTCAAACATCTTTTAAAAGTTGAACAAACCCCACACAGCTCAGTAAAGACTGTGAAATGTTGACTTTATTTGATCATTTCAGTAAAAACTAACGTTCATATTTCTCTTTTTGATTATAATACTGATGAACGTTCAAAACAAAGCACTTTGGCAACTTACCACATACGTTTTAAAATGCTTAATAAGCACCGTAACTTTCATGATATAATTTCTCGTTCATAATCGGTTGTTTCCGTGAATGGCCGAATGTTGTGTGACGGCAAATGCTGCGGCCGCAAGGCATTGTGGGGCAGCATGTTCTCCTCTCCTTTCGTAAAGGGAGGTCCAGTGGTTCCTAAGCTAAAGGAAGTTATAAAGGAAGTTTGAAACCTCCTTTCTTTTCATCTAGAGAATTCGAACGGCTCTTATCATGGCTGCCACTGAGGTACTTCCGGGTCATTTCACTCTGTTAGGAAGGTTCCTAAGCAAAACGGACTATTCGACCGCAACCCTGCACACTTGCTAGCCTGTTCCATTCTTCGTTCTCCGAATGAAAGAAAGGATTCTTGCCTAGCCTCTGATGGACCTGACTCGGAAGACATGTCGCACCAATGAAGCGTCCTCGACATTGAGAAACACCCTCTGTGTTCCCTCCTGCCTGATTACCCGATTGTGTTCACCTCACCGTCCAGCCGTAATAATTAAAAATGAATAATTAGAAAAAACAATCCTATTATCTGTACTTTAGGTCAGCCAAAACAATAAATGCAGCATTATTGCAACTGTGGTTGATGTAACATTATCCTTAATTTGTGTATTCTAATTCCTGTGTTGTTTTGCATTTGTTATTTGTTCATTTTATATTTAGTATTTTTTTATTTTTTTATTTTGTTGTGATTTTTGTATTTACTTTTTGTATTTGTTCATTCATTTATTAATATTAATTGAATTTAGTTTTTAATTTTTCAAAGTTACATTAGAGAGGAGAATTTGGTCCCGTTTTCAATCCAGTTGTACAACGAAGAAAGAGGTAAAAGATACAAAAAAATCTGATTTATACTTGTAAATTGTGTAAACACACCACTGTTCATATATTGTTTCTGTGGCTTCATGTTGATAGCCTGTCCTGCATTGTAAACGAATACAAATAAAGAAATCAGAAAAGATTAAGCCTTCTTTAAAGTGGACCTATCATGCTATATTTGAATAATATAGTGTAGGACCATACCTATATAAGGCATATTTATACTTTTTTTTTTCAAAATACCAAACAGATCATGCATTTTAGCCATGCCTCATTTTGCTCAATTTGACCATTTCTAGCTCTGTTTTAGCAAGGGCAGATTCTGTGAGAACAGCACCACCTACAGGCCTGGCATATGTACTACAGCGTCTCCAGCGCTTTCGAACGGCAATGGCCGTGGCTGTCTCCTCCTGATTGGTGGAGTTGGCCCAATAGCCGTAGCGCCACCGTCCTGACGTCACAGAGGGTTGTGTTTTCTGACACTTGGTGAGTTCCCTGGAACACCGGGGACACATATTCATGTAGAAAAGACGTACAAAAGTGCATTTTGCATGATAGGTCCCCTTTAAGGTGGCAATATCCAGGTCTGCCTTTGACCTGCTTTCTTTCTATTGTCCTTAGTATCCATCATCACTTGAAGTCCGAGCAGCAAAACAAACCGTTGTTTCTCTTGGGGATTACTGAGGAACTTCTGGGAAATCACACTGTGTTGTAAAAACAAACTGAATCATTTGTTAAGATCAGCCAAACACATATATTTTAGTTTGTACACACTCCTCCAGATTATCAGGCAATCAATTGGTAAAATGTGGTAGATTGTTTTTGCAAAGTGAACGAGGAAGCATGAACACCGAGCAGTGACCACACGGGGCTTAACCCACTTCCACACAAGCCACATTGTTCCAGTCACTGTGGTGAGCTGCCAGTTTGAGAGCGTAGGGGCAGCTTGAAAGAAAGTAAAGCTTAATGTCTGAACAGAAAAGAATGAACTCTTTAAATGTTAATGTATTAGTTTATATGGGTTTGGTAGTTCTCTGCATGCTGCTATGGTGAACCAAAACAAAACCTCTGGTTGCTTTGCTTCTGTTGTCATATTTGCATTGTTATTTTAAATCATAATTATGCAGATGAAATACTGATTCAGTGCTAG